CATGTTCTATTAAAAAGAGGGTGGGAGGGGGAGTTAGTTTTCCAAAATGTCGATGCCATAAAAGACAATGAAAAGCTGTGGAAATGTTCCAGAATGTAGAAAGGTGAAGAGACGTGATAACTAAATGCATTACCTGATTCTAAACTGGTTCCAGTATTGGAGAGGGAAATATTCTATAAGGACATTACTGGGTCAGCTGACAAAACTGGAATACTTATGTTAGATTGGATAAAAGTATCAATGTTAAATTTGCTGTCATTGATTAACTATATTGTTATTATGTAAGAGATTATGCATATTTACAGGAAATATACTCTGAAGTATTTAGGGGTAAAGGACTATGATATCTGTAATTTGCCCTCAAAAGGGTCAGAAAAAAAATTGTATGGTGTATGTAGAGAGAGAGGAAAGAGGGAACACGCATGATTGCAAATGGTAAAGCAAATAGGATAAAATGTTAACAGTAGATAAATATGGGTAAAGGGTGTACAAGTACTCTTTGTAGTATTTTTACTTTTGTAACTTATCTGTAAATTTGAAATTATTTCCAAATAACAAGTTAAGACAAAGTACATGGTTTAGTTTTGAGGCATTCTAATAAGGTAACAAAATGATAGAGCATAGAGAATTTGTTTTGGAAGATTGAATAGTTAACGTGCTCTTTAGGCATTTTCTCTCAAATATCAGATGTCTCAAGTGAGCCCTAGGTAAGTACTAAATCAAATCAATTCATGGTTGAATTATCCAGTGAGTGCCGTAAGTGCTAATATTCTCTATTGTTGATTGAAGAGGGATCCCTGTGTTTTAGATACCAAATGTAGACAAACAGCATTGACATTCTGTTATGAAAATGTAAAAGCCTGATTTGTTTTGTGCTAGTTCACTTACTCAGGAAGATGGGTCAGAAAGGTGCTTAAAGGAAATTACTAATATTTTCTCTCAAGGAGAATTTGAAACTGTAGAAGCAATTGAACAGGTACTCACATATGGTCCCAGTGTTCAAAAGTATAGTGTAGAAAAAATAATTTGAGCTAAAATATTTTAAAGGCCTATGATAGCAGTTAATTCCTCTCCATCATAAAGGAATCTGAATTTTTATCACCTTTAGAAAATGTAATTTTGAAAAGAATTGCATGCTGATGGATATTCCAGATAAATTAACTGCAAAATAGATCCCAAGTAATTAATTCTCCCCCTCAGTTAAGAAGCAAGTTGGACTGATGAAAGCACGTAGTAGAACAAGATGAAAAAATCAAAACTGGGTTAAAAGAGAGAAAGAAAATATCAAGTGCTATTAGTAAATACCTGGGTGGGAAAATTTTAATCCAAGATAGGTTTTAAAAATTGCGTATGGTAGGCACCCCTTCTCCCAAAGTTAAAGGCTTTTTATGCTTACAGTTGCAAAAAAAGTTCATAAAAGACAACAAGACTTTAAATTGAATGGGCATTATCTTGAAAGTCTATAAGATGAAGGTGCTCCTCTTTTTTGTGTCTTTTTTCAGTTACTATGAAAGAATTATCAGTATATTGGAGCATCTCCTACTGGCCTGAGAGCTGATTTGTTAAAATTTTAGGAATTTTGCAAACAGATTGTTAAACACAACCATTATTAAAAATTAAACTACATAGCTTATTATTAAATAAATTGCATTTATAAGAAGGTAATAAATACTTAAAATTCATCACTTCCTAATTAGTTTACTGCATTTTACTATGATCTGTGCTCTTGAAGTTATTCATATATCTCATACCTTTATGGTTGAAATACTATATCATGGTGTGCTACTTTGTATCTTTTTCCAACTCCTTGTTCAGTGATGTCACACTGGTAGCTTGAAGGTAGCCATTGTGGGAATATTTACACCGCAGAGATCAGCAAATGCCATAAATCAGGGCTTGATTTATTGTTTATTGATTATTTAAACTTAGTGATGGAGAAAATGCTAATACAAACTTAAAAGTGTCATGTCTTTAGCTGTTAAATTGTGCATAGCTCAAAAAATTGAGGATATGTTCTTCTGTTCAAAAACGATTATCTACTTCAGTAAAGAAGTCACTCACATTGTTGACCTCATTGTCATAATGAAAATATCGACCAGTACTCCAAACTACACTTGGAAAGCCAGTTGCTAAACATTTACCAGCCGCTGCTGGTCATGGCGTAATTGCATTCAGTGTTTTGGTAGGAAATAGATAATAATATAAATTTATTATACTGTTATTCACCTTTAGGAAATTGTGTCATGATAACATGTGCGCATTAACTAAGAAGAAAAAAAGGTTGAGTTCTAAAAGGCATAAGCTGTAGCACATGATAGTAATTTTAAATTTGAAGCCTGTGATATATGTCTTTGATATGAAGCCTTTGATATATGTAGATGAGAAATAGAATCACAGAATTTAGAGTTTGAAGAATGCTTAAAATTAATCCAGACCAATCTGCCTTACAGATGGAACTTCTTTCTCTAGTGTATCAGTCATCCAGACTGTATTTAAATTATTCTAAAGACAGCTCATTACCTGATAATAGTGTTGGAGAACTCTAGAAGTAGAGTTCTTTTTTTTTTCTTGTGAGGAGGACTAGCCCTGAGCTAACATCCGATGCCAATCCTCCCCTTTTTTCTTGAGGAAGAGTGGCCCTGGGCTAACCATCCATGCCCTTTTTCCTCTACTTTATATGGGACGCCGCCACAGCATGGCTTACCAAGCGGTGCGTCGGTGCGCACCCAGGACCCGAACCTGCGAAACCCGGGCCACCGAAGCGGAGCGCGCGCACTTAACTGCTTGCGCCACCGGGCTGGCCCCTAGAGTTCTTTTTTATATTGAGCTAAACTTTGTTTTTATTTAATTTCTACCAGTTGGTTCTGGTACTGACTTCTGGAGAAACATAGAAACATAGGAACAGAAGGGAAAATTTGTCTCTATAGAGCAACCAACTGTTTGGGTGTAAAGGTAGCTGGGATGTTTCCATTTAGACCTCTTTGGGCAAGAAGTATACCTTTCATTCCTTTAACCATACATTGTGTGGTATATTTTCTAGATTCTGAAGACTGTTGCCTTTCTAAACAGCCGCATCACTATTTTTTGGCTTTTATTGCCTTTGTAGAGGAAGTAAAAGCCTTTAGATCTTTTTTTAATGCAAATTGTACACAAGTCACGTCTTCTGTGTTGTTTGAATCTTTTTTTTTTAACCCAAAGCAGATCTTTGTTTGTTCAATCTTATATCTTCATATTGCTTTCAGCACAGCATTCCAGATTGTAGAAATGATAACAATTTGTAACTTTTATCATTTTTGGTATTTACTAATCCTATGGATTTTGTGTCAGTTGCAGATTTGATAACCACTCAATGTTTATTGTCTTCATACAAGTTATTATTTAACATGTTGAATTTCAAAGGGCTGTGGGGATACAGTTCCTACTTTAAATAACCCTCTCTAAATTCACTTCTACCCATTGTCATTACTTTTGTTGTTTAAGCAATTGTGAGTCCACCTACCAGTTCCATTAAGTAGCCCAGATTTTACCATCTTAAATACAGAAGTTTATCATGATGTATTTTGTCAGGTGCTTTGCTAACTGAGATCAAGATACACTATGTCTATTACACTATGTCTATTTCATTCTCTCCAAAGAAATATACTCTAGTGCTTCTATCTTTGAAAAGTAGGCATTTTTGAAAAATCCTGACATGGCTAAATGTTAAAGTCATATTCTTCCACAAATGGAAAGATAGAAAGAAAATCCCTGAAGAATGATGGGCTAGCTAATAATTAAGATATCAAAAGAGAAGGGACAAGAAGATCACTGGGGACACTTGATGATCGGGGCCGTGGTATGTACTTGGGCTGAAAAGAAAATAGCCTGTGCCATGAGAGCAGAGCTTTTTCACTGAGGAAGTATTCTGGATCAGGTGAAAATTTAGGGACTGGGAATGGAGGGGACAGGATTTGTTAGTTTGTTCTTTCCTTTTTATTATATCTTTCCTTTGAAATGTATGTGGTGAAATATTAACAATGGGTACTTCTGAGTATATGTAGATATTTCTTTGAGATGTATAGCACCTCCTATTTTCTTTGCTCTGGACAAACTAAGACCTACTTCACAGTATTATTTTGAAGATTAAAAGAGTAATTCACTGTGAAATTGTCTAGCATATTTCCTTGTATTTTATAGATAGTAGATAAAGTTTTGTTTAACCTTGTTAAATTATTTCCCCTTGTTAAATTCCATTGACCAACCATGGTGGAGGTTGTCAGGAAGTTACTAGTGTGAGTGTCTCATCACATTCCTTGGCCTCCACCCTTCTTTATCCTACCCAGACCTGTTTTATTGCTGCTGGAAGGACGAAAAATCTATAGTAGGTCACTTGATTAAATAGTATTAATAGAATAATGGCTTTCTCTTTTCCACTGCCTGTTTCTTTCCTAAAAAATTATAGTTCAAAAGCAGCATCTTCTAGAAAGCAGTTCCTGATTAGTCGTCTCATTTTCTATCCCACATTCAAGTTACTCTTAAAAATCATATTTATGTATGATTTTTACATACATAAGCAATGTATGTAAAAGCAAATGTGTTTTTAGGGGTCCTCCTTGAATATACTCTTCCATGTAAATTCTGAGCTCCTAGACTATGAAGAGGTTGTGTTTTACGAGTACTTGACAGCTGGCAATCACTGTTTTAATTCAGCTTAAGACGAGGGTACTTGTTAAAACAGTAGAGAGGAGTTGGGAGGTAGAGGTAAAGGGTTTTGGGAATATGAAGAAAGAGGATATATGGGTAAAATTCATGGGCTCATGAGTTATTTTGAAATTTACTTTTCTTAGTTGCTTACCTGATTAATTATTTTATGGCAGGTTTTACATTTAACTTGAGGGTTTCTATAGGGTGGATTAATAGGCCATCTACCTAGTCTTTAAAAATCTCTTGATTCAATACATTGTAATTAGTTTCTGGTAATTAAATCATTCTCTCTTTTTCCTGCAGATTGAGGTGGTGCCATGCAGCAAGAAGCAGAGAGATGCAGAGTTCGAGCCAGAAGGCCTGACATGGCACTTTATGTACCTAAAGCTCGAAGGGGTGTAGTACTCTTCAAGTCAGGTGATGAGGAAAAAAGCTGTGGTCCATCTAACTGCGTGGTGAAAGAGGATCAAAAAGAAGATTGTCTCTCCCAAAAGGAGATTTTTAGAGACAAACCTGAGGCTCAAAGACTAAGTTTTAATCCTGATAAAAAGGAACACAATCATAGGGAAGGAAAGAAATCTTCAACAAAATTAAGAAAAGATACATGCCTTCAAGAAAGAAATAAAGATAGGGTTTGTACTAAGAGGGGAACCACAGAATCCAAAGAAGTATTATCCCAAGGACGTCAGCAAAGAGGCTCAAATCCTGGGATTATACCTAGTGTATTTTTACAAAGACATTTTAAACCAAAGAAGGTGGAGTGTTTGGAGGTTGGAAGCACAGATGGAGCAGGACATGAGAGGTTGCTTCCATCTCAGTCTTGTTCAGAAATCAGTGAAGCTCAGGTTCTAAATAAACCATTCCAAAATGTGGAATTCTGTGATTTCAGTAGGCATGAACTAAGTGGGGAAACATTTGAAGACAGAGATTTGGAAAGCAGAATTGAAGCTGATGCCAGGGTTGTGGAGATACTATCCGAGTTTCCTAGAGTTTTTAGTTCTGTGTTGAAACCTGAGAGTGTGCTTGCACCGGTAAAACTAGACTCTGATTCTGGACTTGTACAACAAGGCATGCAAACATCAGGTGGAATGTTGAAGCTCAGCAATGGAGGCATCACCACTGTTTGTGTTCCTGGAAGTCCGGATGGTGTCACTGATCAAACTTGTGTAGACTTTGAAGCTGAGAATGTTGGTAATGTAGCAAACAGTACAGATTTCATCTTGGGTCAAAAAGGTATAGATTCCAGTCCTGAGGCTATGGGTTACATCTCTCATAAAACGACTGTAATCAGCAAATTAGAGGACACAAATGGCATTTTTGAGCCAACAGTGATTAGAGAGTATGAGGAGAATGACAACACTACTGATGAATTATGTGTAAAGTATGAACCTTCTGATACAGCTGTCCTGGCTCATGAAACTGATACAGATCATGGGTCTAAGAGTGTAGGTGACATTACCAATAAGGCATGTATGATGGACATTACAGATGTCATATCTGATCAAATAACTGTAGGCAGCCCTTGTGTAGTTGCAGTTAGAATAGCTGATGAGGACTGTAGCAACACAAGTAGTTTCTCAAAATATTTAGAAATGAGCGCAGATACAGCTCCTCTTCATGTAGCTGTGAGTGGGAATGACACTGAAAATTTCAGTAACCTGACTGCTTGCTCAGATATTTATGCTGGGAGTATTTCATCTAGTTTCACAGAGTCAACAGGAAAGTTGATAGAGAGCTTGTCAGATTGTGCTTCCTCCTTACCTATAAAGAAGATTGCTGGTAGTAATTGTAGCACTTTTTTGGACTCTGAACTCTGTATGTTAAATGGAACAAAAGTCCTTTCAGACAGTGCCTTGGGCAACGATCTAGATTGTACTGGTGATATAACAGAGGCATTGCATGAACTAAAAACTGCTGAAGAGTTCAAAACAAAAGAGGAAGATGACTCAGAGAATATAGAGTTTGGTGTATCCTTTCCTGATATAGAATCAGTATCTATGGAAACATCCATAGAACCGAAAGCAACTGAAACTTCTCACATGGAAGGAAGTGCTGCTGCTGAGGAGAGCTGGGAGTCTATGTTTAATGATGATGGTGACTGCCTGGATCCACGTCTTCTACAAGAGGTATGTTTAGTGGAAATTGCTTGATGCTTAGGTAATTTCTAGATTCACAGAACCTGGGATTTTGGGTGGTAATTTTGATGGACATTTGTGCACAGTCACACATGTAGTCATATTATATGCAATGTAAGGGTTCCTAAGCAATACACTAATAAGCAATAAACTAATAAGATTGTGGATTGAGAAAAGAATACCTGATAGATCTTTAAAAAGTAAAACATACAGGATTGAGCTATATCTATAATAGCCAAGTCCTGAGGGATCTCATTGAGTAGATTAAAGATAAATTTAGTGGATTCTGGCTATCTGCTGAGGAAATACAGAGGGAAACTTATTCAGAAGGGCTTTTCTGTGTTGACAAGATGTGAGTGTGGTAACTAGAGATGGCTGTCAGTCTATAATTAGAAAAACACTGTTCAGCAGCGGTTTTAGACCCAAATCAGGTTAAGAATTACTAATAATGCAGGAACTTAGGTGAATATAGAGGTTATTAAGAATCCAGGCATTGGAAGAAGGCCTTAGTTTGAGAAAGGAAGCAGTGTTTGTAGGAGTTGGCAAAGGGACTACTTGAGTGGGTAGAGGACACAGGTATGCATAGGAGAGAAAGAACAGCTTCCTACAAAAGAAGGGTGTGGCACACACAGCCTTTTATACACGGTAGGACTCAATAAATATTTATTGAATGGATGTAGGTGATAGGTAAGAGTTGGAGCTCTCTGCCTTTTTAGCGTGGCCTCCAGGGACTTTCAGAATATTGCTGTTGGAACTTGGTTTGTGTGTGGTAGCTTAGGGATATGGCTTGTGTATTTGAGGAGGGAAGTTCAGGTGTGCCACCTTGTTTTTCAGGTCTTAACACTGTTTAGGATAGGTGCAAAAGAATTTAGGCAACTACTCAGTGTTTTGAGGAGCAGAGTAATTTAGCCAAAGAGGACACTAGCATGACCTAAACCTGTAGTGTAGAAGCTGAAGACATCCAGTGCCTGGATGTTGTTTTTGGTTATCTTTGGAGGTGCTTGGTAGGAATGGAGTTCTATGTTGAGGGATGAGGATGGATGAGAGCAAGAAAGAAGGAGATGGATTGAGAATACAGGTAGCAGATCCAGTTCCAAACTATGATCTCCTGTGCTTTGGGTTTTAGAAGATACAATAATAATGTTATTAAAAGGTGTCACAAACCCAATAACATTAATAGCCCTTTGGTAACTATTATTCTTAATTTATTATTTATATTGCTCCACACATTCTTTATTAAAGACTAAACCATAGTGTCTACCTTGAAAACTTTCCGTTCAAAGATTTTTGGCTCTTTTCCCAGCTGGCCCATTTTCTTTGTTGACAATGGCTAGACATGGAGGTATGTGTAATACGTCTAATATGCAGGGAGGTATGCTGCAGAGCAGGGTGTGGCAGCCACTGGCATGTGAAGCAGTTTCCTGTGACATTTTGAAACTCTAAAACTGCCTGAGTCGGGTAGAGAGCATAGGTAGGTCATTATTGAGCTCCTGGAACTGTAACCCTTGATAAGTCTCCAAAGATGACACTTAATCTCCTTAAGCCGTCGTATGAGATGCCAGACACCTAAATTGGTAATTGATAAAGAAAAGGATATTGGCATGACTTCTTTTAACCCTCTGAGATATTGGTACAAGAACTCAAAGATTCTTGTTGTTTAGATAAAACTCCCATAGCCCCTGCTGCCTGCTGGTTTGCGGATCAGCAAACCTATTGGTAGGATGGTTCGTAGAATACCAGAAACATAGCATTGATATTGGTAGACACTAGTATCTGGTCCCTTCACTGGCCATTTCTGTCCTTGATTTGAGTTTTTAAATAGGCTACTAACAATGTATAACCATGGAAAAGAGAAGAGTAAAGGAGCACCACCCATTCCCAAACCATCTTCCCTCTGTGTGTGCTCACTCACCTTCGTACACTTGCTCTGTCTCCCCATCGTCTTTTGCAGAAATGCTCTCTGTTTTTAAGTAGAAAACCCAAAATTGAAAAGAAAAATTTATAATCCAACCACTAAAAGCAAATTATATGAAGTACATAGGGAGGAAAGTCCTTTATATCCCACCCCCTAGGGATCTCACTGGTAGTTGGTACCCCATCACTTTGCAGTTAAATAGCAAATATTGAGCACCTAGAGTTTGATAAACTATAAATTGCAAATAGATATATATTGTTATTATCACTACTGTGTTAAAGGCTCTGTGCTACATGCCAGCTTTTTTCTCTGCTCTAAAGTTACTTATATTTTATTTGGAGAGACAAGATGTAACCATGTGATTAGATAGTCACATAACAATCTGAAGGATAATTAATATAAAACAACCATATAAGAGATGTCCTAATACTGGATTTGATTGTCTGATGAGTGATCTAGACAATGGCTTCAAAAGAGGATTAGATCCCTGAGGACTAAACTGGTTGATGTCGTTTCATGTTGATGAGGCCATAGAATTAAACAAGAGATTATAATCCCCACTTCCGTAGATTATTCTATGTTCCTAATTTCTATTTTCTGTTCTATTTCTATTTTTTTAAATTAATAGATTTATTTTTTTAAGCAGTTTTAGGTTTACAGAAAAATTGAGTGCCAAGTATAGACAGTTCCCATATACTCCCTCACTCTTCTATTACTATTTTAATTTCTGTTTTCACAGTATCTTTTATTATTAGTTCCAGCTCAATTTTAACAGATTTATATTTAATATTTTTATTAAAATGTCTCAATTAACATGGTATTGACTCCCTAAGTGGGGATTTATATACTTAACTTGCAGATGCTATATATTCTAACACAGTCCCTTGGGACATCCAGTGACGAATCTGATTAAATTATATACTCTGTTTGTTGTTCAACCCGTTAGTGGATGATGACTAGATCTCCAGTTCACGCTAAAAAGAGAGAACATTAAGTGGATTCCATTGCTCATAGTTTGTTTTTTTTAAACAAACTATGTAGGCCTGACTATTGAAGTGGGTAGGCAACAGTCTAAATATATTTAAATATCAGACTTTAAATTCAGGTTAACTCCTAAAATTAAAAATCTCCCTTCTGAGCTCTGTAGATTTGTTGTATAATGTTTTTTTCCTCTGAATCTTCATTCAAACCAACAGCATTTTAATTTCTGATCTTTTTTCAAAACTAAAGAAAGGTAAACGGTTCTGGGCCTATATTGTCAGTACAAGGAGGGATTCTTGTCTGAAGCTTCACATTCCTGGTGTGCCTTCCTCTGTCCCTGTCAGGGCTTTTGCTTCAGTGACCTCCATGAGATGTGGTATGTGAGGTGTGGTTGGGGCAGATCGGGTAGGGGTATTGATATGCCTCATAATATTCATTCCATTTAATTAAGTCCCTGTTTAGTAACAATAGCAGGGAAGGGAAATTGCAGGATTGGCAAAGAACCAGAGTGTGCACTCTATGCTGGTCAGGAGAAAAATAGACAGCGACTGTATCCAAAAATTAGAAATTCATTTGTGTTAAAAAGCTTGGTTAAAGGTAGAAACATACCTTTGGGAGAATTAAATCTTGCCTACCTTTGATTTGAATTAATTTAATCATTTGTATCAGAAATTACTTACAGGCATGCTGGATACTCTGTTGCTGGGCTTTGGGAAGGAGTCCTAGGGAGGAAAAGAGTGACCCAGCTGCAGGCCTGACTATTGAAGTGGGTAGGCAACAGTCTAAATATATTTAAATTCAGACTTTTTTGTTCTGATGAATTTGGGGTTGGAGTGTGGGGAGGTGTAAATTTGCAATAAGGCCTAGATTTCGGGCAGAGAGAATTTAAGTGCGAATCAGCAACCTTATACAGAAGATCTTTTTGTGTGGATTGACCAAAGGCTGAGATTGTTAAGGAATAGCCAAGAGGATGCCCAGGCAAACTGGATACTAGACTTAAAGCACTAAGACTATATTTCTGATCCTTCATATGATGGGTCATACTATTATATTGCCTACATGGAACAAGATTGACTCATTTCTTGTAGGTCTGAGTCTGCAGTTTGAAGGTCAGAAGTACATATCTATTGCCTGTTGCTGAGATGGACGGATAGGCAAGGACTAATACTCTATAAAGTAATAAATAAGGAAAAATTTTGATGTGGGAGAACAGACCTGGATGTGCTGCAGGATTTTAGGGAGCATAAGGATCAAGTGGATCAGGGACTAGCGAAATCAAGCAGGAAGTGGAATGGCAATAAATGCTAAGTTTGTCTGCTTTGCAGTTTTTCTTAGGTCTCTTGGACAGCCATTCTCACTATCATAGCAGTACCTGAGTCAAGCTATCAGGACCAGTTTGGGAAGATTCAAACCTCTACCATCCCCCTATTTGACTTAGTTTTACTGTTTCAGGCTAGTCTACTCTTACCTTTCTACTTTATCGGTGGTATCTTTCCATCTGTTCTTTCTAATCATGTTGGGAAGAGAAGAAAATACAGATATTTCTCCCTGCCTTCTCCGTCTTCCTAGTTCACTACAAATTTAATCTACAACAGTGTTTTCATTGTTTAGTGAAAGCATCTTCCCAGGAATGCCAATATCAGGCTACCATGTCAACCTTTCTGTACTGTCTGAATAGGAGCCAGGTCCACGTTGGTTCAGGATATTTACTTGGTCCCTGCTTATATATTCATGTGCCATACATTACCATTCATGGGAGAGAACTAGAACTCTCAAATTTATCCTCTGGCACTGGGATCAATAAATGATCATCTGACCAATTGTTAGGGCGCTATACATGTCTCATTATTGTAGCTTTCTTTTTTCTTATTTCATTTTGCCCATCTCCTTTTCTGCTTCCTTGTCCACTTTCCCCCTTTCTTCTCTTTTACTGTGCCTTAATCCAAAGTTATGGCCATGGCTTTCTCCCACTGATGATAATCAGAAGTATTGAGATATTGCTGATACTTATTCTAGAGAAATCTTTAGATGGCACCTTGCATGGCGTTCTACCCATTCTGTGTTATAAATTTGTGAAGCCAAAGTTTGCATTTCT